AAAGAAAAGAAAAGAAAAGAAAAGAAAAGAAAAGAAAAGAAAAGAAAAGAAAAAAGGAAGAACCCTGTTTATAGGGAGTCCAAGGGCAGGGCGAGTCACGGACAAAGAGACATAGAGGTTGATAGAGTTCCAGGATGTCTTATGGCTCAGGCTGGAATGATGCCACCCACTTCTGTCCTACTAGTCTAGAATGTTCTAGACTAATGGAGCGTTGAAGGAAGGGTAGAAGTCAGAGCTCTTCCTGGATCCCTCTGCAGGCTCACCCCTCTCCTATGGGACAGAGGACAAGACCTAGGGACAGCAGTGAAGGAGGAGGGGTGCAGGGCAGGCCAGGCCATGGAAGCCTGAGGTCTAAGGAAGATCTAGAACAGCCATTGCAAGATTCATCTGAAATTGATGGCTCTGACTATCTCTCACCAGAACCAGCGTTAGTGGAAACATGTCCAACTATAGTATTAAGACTCACTTGGGCAAAGACGATTACTTTCTAAAACCAAATGTTGTTAAAAGTATGTCACTTTCCTGATCCTTAACTTCCTCGTCTGTAAACTGGTGAAAACCCCCCATCACAGAATTCTTGAAAAGTAAAATGAGAAAATGTAAAAAAAAAAAAAAAAAAAAATCCTGAAGCGCGGGGTCCGATACAATATAAACCATAATAGTACGTATTAAAAAAAAAAAAATAAGTAGCCATGTTGAACGATTTCCCCCAGGCAAGCTATTATTACACAGGAGGCCATGCCTTTAATGTCCACACTAGCCCTGGGGAGCAGACATTCTCGTTGTACCCATTTTACAGCCCATAACAGCAAGGGGTTCCATAATTTGCTCAAGAGCACACATGCACCAAGGCAATCTTGACCCTTGAGGCAAACCTGGCTGTCTCCTACTTCCATCTAGAGATACTCCTTATTCAAAAGGTGATAAGGGGGGAGACACTTCCTATTTCCGAAGTGTCTTTTCACCTGTTCCAGGAATTACTTTTACCTTTTAAACATAAAAAAGCTGTAGGAAAAATACCGCCTCTCGGGAGAGGCTATTCTGCGGGGGCCCAGTCCACAGCCAGGATGCACAGCCTTCCCCTGGAGGGACCTCGCACTAAATACCGGAGGCAGGCAGCCGAAAAGGAAGAACAAGGTCATTGCTCCCTGGGCAGCACCCCCATCAGCCAAGCCGGGAAGCTCTCTGAGCCTTAGCTTCCTTATCTATAAAATGGATTTGTTGTAAAATCAGTAAAGTAGAAACATTCAAAACCAATTCTGCGGGCCCTTGGCCTCCACCCACCCTAACCCCGGCCCGGTGGGCTGGGGAACCATACAGCATGCACGCTCTGGTCTTCATCCCTGGCCCAAGTGCTCAGCCGGCACCACACGGGGAAGCTTCCGGGCCTCTCCATCCCTCACAGGCTGCTGACCAGCGCACCAGCCGGGGCGACCCCAGCTACTGCAGATAGGAGACCTTGGGCGGCGGCGGCAGGAGAAGACCAAAGGCGTCAGCACCGCCACTGCCCCGGCGTGGCACTCTTATACCCGGGTGGCCCCCAGAACTCAGGGCAGGTACCTGTGGCCACCCCAAATGCCTGGGCTAAAGCACCGTGGGGCCGGGGTCCCCACTAGGCTCTGCGGACCCGCAGCTGAGAGCCGCCAGGCGGGAGACGTGCCGGCTCAGAGCGGCGGAGTGGCCATGAAAGATCCAGAAAAGTGAGAAAAGTGTTGGGAAGGAGGCACGCCCACCACCTAATTCCACCCTCAGGCCTGGGGATTTCGTGGGAACAGGGACCCATGAGCCGGCTCTGGAGAGGCTCCCGGATCCCCCAGCTCCAGGGCGGATCCTGCTTTCTCGCTCTGGCTTCCCTAGGCGGCAAGGAGGAAGAGTCCTGGTTCTCCCCGTGGGCGAGGGGGAGCAGGAACCCCATGCTGTCCCCTCTCATGGGCAATGCTACCACCCCCAGCAGCCCGGCAAAGTCCCTCTCCACCCCTTCCTAGAGACGAAACGGATTTTAAACCAAGACACCCGTCCTGCGACTGCTTCATATCCAGGGTTTCTTTTCTTTTCTTTTTTTTTTTTCCCCGGACAGGTCAGAGCTGCCCAATTTTTTCATTTGAAGCTACAAACTACGTAGATTTCTTTTCTGGGCCTCAGATGGGGGTGGGGGGCGGTGGGTATGAAATACAGAATGTGGCCCGACTACATCGCCATCACTTTATTGTATCGTCACCGTTAACTTAACTATAAATACTACGGTGGGGAGCGAGGCGCTGGCGGCCTTGGACTTCGGGGCTCGAGCCCCTGCTTACCCCCGACCCCAGGCGCCAACCCTCCGGGCTCTGTACACTATTTACAGCCTCGTTCCTCTTTCTCGGCCCCCTCCCGCAAGGCAGCGCGTGTGCAAGAAAGTAGCATCGTCTGTCTGTGCAAGTCCTTCGAGTTAGTCAAGAGCCACAGCCGGCCCGCGGCCGTCAGCTGTCCGAGTCCAAATCGCTTTTACCTTCCTCTTCCCTCTTCTCGGGCGACGCCTTTGACGACGTCTTGTTCCACTTCTCGGCGTTTTCCGACTCCTCCGACGAGGACCGCTTCTGCCGCCTCCATTTGGCACGGCGATTTTTAAACCAGACCTGTTGCGCAACGGAGGACAAAACGACAGTTAAGATCAAAGGCGCGCTCCCCCACGGCCGGGGCACCCCCGGGGCCCTCCGTGGCCGCGCGTGACGCCGGCGTGGGCTCGGAACCCGGGGACCCCGCGCGCACGCCAACAAAAGGACAGGAGACTCGCTCCCGCTTCCGCATTTCCATTCAACTTCCTGGGCCTAAAGCGCCCTCCAGCAGCCTCCGGGCCTCCACGGGATGTTTCGCAAGTTCAGGGAGACCCGAGCAGAACCGAGCAAACCCGGCGGGGGCCCGATCTCGCCTTGGAGGGCCAGCAGGCGCGCCCACCTCCACTTTCTCCTCGCGGAGGTGCACCTTCCGGGCCAGCTGCTCGCGGGTACCCACGTCTGGGTACTTGGTCTCCTGGAAGAGGTTCTCCAGCGCTTCGAGCTGCTCGTCCGTGAAGATGGTGCGGTGCCGCCGCTTCCGCCGGCAGTGCAGCTGGTTGAGGAGTTGCAGCTCGGTGCGCGACAGGGTGCCCACGTTCATGTAGGGCAGCATCTGGTGCGGCACTGGGGACACTAGCACCGAGCCGGGGCCCTCGTAGCCTGCGACAGAGTAAGACGCACGGTCAGCCGCCTTCCTTGCCACGGGGCGCACACGCCAGCCCGCCTGTCCGCGACCCACTCCGACTGGAAAATCCTCTGCAAGGGGGTGCTGGGAAGCGGGGGTGCGCGGAAACCGAAGATGCAGGGAAATGGGGAAAGCGTGCTAGAGCGTCCACGCGCACACTCCCAAAGCCAGCTAGGGAATCCCAAAAGCCTAGTCTCCCCATGCAGGCACTAAGTTACAGTTTCCGCTAACTCTCGCCTAAAGTTTGCAGCAAGTGTACAATCCCCCGTGCCCGATCGGCCAAAAAAAAAAAAAAAAAAAAAAAAAAGTGGAGGGGGAGGGTGGGGAAAGTTTATTTTTGCAAGGAGAAAAGTTTGCGCGAAGTGAAAATAGCAAGCGCCGCCGCCCACCCACGCTCTAGGGACTGAGGACCGAGGCAGGCGGAGGAGGCCGGCGAGAGCGCTACCCTACCTGGGGGCGTCGGGACGCAGGAGCACTGCTGGGCACCCAGCGGCGGCACGGCCCCGCAGCAGGCCGGGCCCACGGGCGCCGCCTGCACGTGCAGCTGCCCGTAGAAGTAGTTGTTGTAGCCGAGGCGGGAGCCGCCGACCGCGGCCGGGAGGCCTGCGCCGCCGGGGGCCACCGGGCGCGGATAGAAGGCGCCATAGTCCGAGGAGGCGCCGCCGCCGGCGCCGTAGAGCGAGTCCCCGTGCAGGGCCGGGAAGACTACGGGAGCCGCGGCGCTGGGCGCCACCGGCAGCACCGAGTCTTTGCAGCGCGGCCGGGCGGCCAGGATGTTGTCGATGCTGAACATGCTGGCGGGCATCCCCGAGCCCCGCGCCGGGACCGGGGGGCGGCAGGGAGGCGCCGGGGAAAAAGCCTCAAAGTGGGGGGGGGGGGTCCACTCTCCTCCAGCGGCCGACCAAACCGAAAGAGAGCGCGGGCGAGCGCGCAGCCCCGCGCCCCTCCCCGCCCCCTGCGTCCGCTCTCCCTCCTCCCGCCCTCCCCTCTCGGCAGCGTTCGCTGAACCCAACCCGCGGGTAGGACGGAGTTTAGACCAGCTGAACCTCTTGTTGGTTTTATACTGAGTCGACGTCATCCTGGATTTAGTTCCTGGTAATATGCAGATGACAAACAGAACCAGATTTGGCCCTTTCGGTTCCTTTGGGGGGGGGGGGGTTAGGGTAGGGGGAGGGGGGAGAGGTGCCAAGGGGAGGGGGTTGCGGGGGCCAGAAAAGGGATTGTGGATTGCAAATTAATGAAATTAACCTAATCTTTCCCATTCAGCGGCCCCGCCGCGGGCTGGCCGAGCTGGGCGGGCGGCCTAATTACTCCGGTTAATCTCATTAATTCCATTGTGCGGCGCAGTTAACAACTCCTTGAGCCCGACCTCTCCGCCCCCACCCTTTTTTTTTTCTCAGATTGGGTCCTATTATTGGGTGCGATTTCCTCTGCGAGAAACTCAAATTCATTGTGGCCAGTTTTACTTTGAGGCTACGTTTTCTCCCCACGCCGGAATTTGTTTTGTTTTAGAAAATGCGAGGGGCTGCGTCCTCTTTCAAGCAAGACTAAAAATTCCGCTTTTCCTCCGAGCCCCCAAGCACTCACCGCCTAATTTCACCTCAGTTTTTTTTTTTATCTTGAGGTTTTCTCCCGAGTGGAACTGGTTAACCCCACCCCAACTTTTTTGTTTTTGCAAAGGCCAACATTTCTAAAGGCAAAAACGACGAAAGAGGTGCGTTGTGGTTCTTAAAATACATGCATATATGTATTTTTTGCAGTCACTTTGGCTCTGAAATCTACCATAAGAACCCGTAGGCCCTTACACAGCGGACACCAAATTCAGCCGCTATTTAAAATTCGCCACCAAGAGCAGCATTCTAGAAGCGATGCTTCCCGCTGCTCCCTGTGTGGGGGCCGGTAGGTTTATGTTTGTTTGCTTTTTTTCTTTTCTTTGGTAAAAATCGCTTTTGGAAATGGGGTGTCTTCTCCCCCATACTGTTTTTGTTTTCAATCCCAAAACGGGGCTTTTGGGATTCCTCACCCCATTCCCCAACAACTGAGTCGAATTTCCCCCCGGTGCGCCTCGCCGGTTCCCCGACTGGGACAGGCCACCTAGCTGTCCTTCGCCCAACAGGCCCAGGCTGGACTCCCGGAGCCCCGGCGGCCTGGCCCAAGCCGGACTCTGCTCGCGGCAGGCGGCCGCGGTGATTTGCGGGATCCTCCGCGCGGCACGGCCGGTCCGCCGGAGCTGCCGGAGGCGCATCCAAGCCCACCACCGTGCGCAGGCGGCAGAGCGCCTTTCGAGAAGGTAGGCGACGATACGCGCGGAACGAAAGTCGCCCCGGAGGTCCTGCGGGCCCGGCGTAAGCCCCAGTCTCGCAGAACTGACCTTTCTCGGCCCTTCGCGCAGGCACCCCCAGCCGCTTCAGGAAAAGGGGTAGTGCCGAGCCCAAACGAGACAGCCGAGGGCCGGGTTGGGGGGCAACTCGGGTTTCCCGAAGGAGGGCCGCTTTTAACTCACGCCCATTTTCTCCCTGTAGCTCTCTGGCTAATTAACAAGGGTCCCTGCCGGCTTGTCTGATGTTGCTTCGGTCAGGCCACGTCTGTGGGCTGCCTCCTCCCGGGCGGTAGGGCAAAGGGGAAAGGGCACTTGTCAATTCGTGTTCCCGGGTCAGAGGAGCGAAGGCGCGGGGGTTTGGTCCGGCCCGGGGCGCACAACCCCCGCCGCGCGCAGGCGTGGCGGCGAGAAGCTAGGCGGCGGCGCTTCTCCTAGGCCTCCCTTCGTGGACTCTGCACCCTCGGGCCCACCCGCTCGTGGCCCAGGAGCCTTGCTTCTAATGCTGAGCAGATTAAGAAGTAGTTGTAGGGGGAGACTAGGGCGAGACCGAGATGGGTCTCGGTTTGGGGAGGCAATCGATTTTTTTTTTTTAACAATAAAAACTGCTCCCAGGGGATGGAGTGTGACCCTCTTCTTCAGAGAGGTCACGTCTAGGGTAAGAAGTGCAGCCCTTTCCCTTTGCTACTAACCAGGGATGGAGGCATTTGCTCTGGGAGACTTAAAAATCACCAGTTTCCGGGCACATATTCTCCGCCAACGTTTCCTGGGGTTGAATTCTGCAGGGCGATTGATGAAAGACAACTAGGGGCCGCCAACTCCTTCGGCGACTCTGGCTGCGTTTGTGTTCGGCGTTGGGCGCCCTGGGCAGTGCGTGCGTGCGTGCGTGGATTTTTTAAGACCTTTGCTGAGCTGGGCGGAGGCAGAAGCGTTTCGGGACGGAGTCCTCGTCTGTTTCTGCAGAGGTGTTCGGAACCGCAAGGCGCGGAGACTTCAGCCACAAATTTAAGAGTGCTTTCTAGTTTTTAAATAAGGCAGCCTGCCCCCCCCCCCCCGCCCCCAAGCATACTGCCTCCTTCCACTTGGTACATTGTTCTCTTTAATGATGAGATTCAGCAATCCCCTAGACTTCGCCTCTTGCTTTTCTGCAATCCTCTCATGGTACCCTCCGACCCCTGGAAGGAAGAGCACTGTATCTCGAGTCTGTGCGTCAGAGTTCTAGACCCAACGTTGCCACCTTGCAAATCAATCACCTTGCAAATACCTCTCTAGGTCGTGGTATTTTTTAGTGGATGGAACCGACGCCAACAATCATTGGGTCCCTTAAAACTGTGAGAATTCTCGAGGCTAGGTGACTGTCGCCTGGGGTAGCTTGGGGGGCATTTTTCTAGTACTTTTCATTGAGGCCAAGATGCAGCCTGTCCCCACCCCCACGCGGGTCAGGGTCTCTATCAGCTGGGTCCAAGATCAGGAAAAGGGAGTGAGAAAGCTCTGTGCTCTTGCAGAAGGGACTTTCCGGGAAAAGGTCACAGGGACCCAGACGGAGCTCTACTCCAGTCTTTCAGTCTCCCAGGGAGCTCACCCCCTGCGAGGCGGGGTCTCCCCACCTCCGTTGCCCCTCGATCTGCAGGCGGCACCGTGTCCGCGGGGAGGCTGGAGCCCGGGAAGGCAGTCAGCGGTGCGATGTCCGCGCTGAGCGTCCTCTGCGGGGCCCAAACCCACAAGTGTCCGCAAGGCGCCAAACAAACAATCATCGCCTAGCCTCGCCGGGCGCAATTCGCAATTCGAATAACAAATGCAACGCACGCAAATTGCCTGCCTCGTGTTGCTAAGCGATTGTTTGTCCGCCCGCACGCACCGCTCAGCATGGGAGGACCGGGAGCGGCCAGAGGCGGCCAGCAAGCGCTTAGGTGGGACGTGCAATAAACACGCCGCTGATTTTACTTATTATCACCCAAACACGA